TACAAACATATAAATGTAGAACCATTTATATGTATGTTAACATATAAAATATTATTAATAATGATTATAAGTCGAATTTTGTTTTTAAGTAATAGATATTCATTTTTTCCTTGAATAACTTTCCACGTCTACATCAGATAAAAATATTGAGAAAATTTTCACTGCAAACGGCCCTCAAACTTTTATACTGCGAAGCTTCATGAAATTATTTTCTTGATCTTTAATGAGAACTTTGTAGTTCAGAAAACTTAAACATTAAAAAACATTTTTTTTAGTTTGCTTTCTTTACGTTTTAATCTGAGTCATAGCTCTATTTATTAAAATGTTATTTAGTGGGGGAGTGATAATTTAGTTAGTGTTGGTTGGTGATTCTCAAAGCCGCGATTTCTCATGAACTGGACTAAAACAAACACTTAGTGTCGCCTCAGCAATTACTCTAATATTTTATTAGCCAGACTAACCTGATATAATTAGAAGGTTATTGTAATTCTGTATTTATTTGTTATAACATAATATGGTTATAACATAATATAGTAGAAGCGAGGATGAGTCGAGTTACATATTAAAAACAGCCAAATTGATTATGTTCTCCTTTTTGAAGTCGGTCAAAAGTAATAAAAACAGTTAAAATTTGTTATTCTGGTTGTTGTCTTTTTACGACTAAATGAAATCGATATCGAATGAAATTTGATATAGTAATAGATTACGTTAAAGTGGAATTTAAAAAATTATTTATTATGGTGGAAAATCCGAGGTCAACATTAAGAATAGCTTGGGTATAGGAAGTCCAAGAAAAAAACTTTAGTAAAGCTTTTTGCGAGCAAAGTTGGAGATTTCACTTGTTACGTACATTTACGTTTAGAAATATATACCTATTATAATATTTTTGTCTCCTTATTACGTTTACTTGTCTCAATAATAATAAGCGTTTTTCCCTTAGGTGACGTATATATTATCTTCATGGGTTTCGTAGTTCTACAGTTATACAATGGTAAATCTAATGAGGTATGGCTATATTTTCCTATGTAATATAATTCGTAAATAGCTTAAGTCATCGTGAAAATAATGTGAATTATAGGACATTTATGTTCAACAATATACAGATATCTTTATAAGATAGTATGAAGAGAGCGCAGAAAGCATTTTATTGTTAGTGTTTCACTCAAATTAAATATTTGTATTGCCCATATAAGTATTCTTTAGACTTGACTGTATCAGACTTGTTATTACCTTTGTGTTATCTATACATATAATAAAATTCTGAGTCAAATCTATACATTTAATATTTTTTGGAAAATCTTATTGAAATAATTATTATTATCGACACAGAGGCCGAATCTATAGTTTTTAAATTTTTGTCTGTCTGTCTGTTTGTCTGGGAGCGCATAAAAAGTAACTAGGGTCGAACCCGAGCTGAACGAGGGTGAGTCGCTAGTCAATACTAATAATATAAAGAGGTAAAGTATGTGAATTTGGATCTACTAAACCGATTTAGATGAAATTTGGTAAGAAGTTAGTTTGAGACCCTGGGAAGGACATAGGACTTTTTATCCCGGAAATCATCCCTTAAGGGGGTGAAAATGGGGATGAATGTTTGTATGGGGAATTAACCTAGGGACGAACCCGAACGAAGCGAGACTGAGTCGCTAGTATCTATATAAATATTTATGTACATTGTACATATAAACAAAATTTGTACACACTGATTTCAAAACAGGAACTATATATAAAGGACATATGGTTACCTACATACATATATTATGAGAGTAATTATGTATTTCTTAGTAATGTTATCGACTATTTCCACACAGGAAGTATGCCTGTAATGTGTATGTGGAAGCAGTTCAAGACATACAAATAAATAAACTTTTACTTTTGTAATCTAATACCTTTAAACGGGCAATTCTGGTATATTTATTTATTTATACCGGCGTTCTCGGAAACGGCTCTAACTATTTCGCAGAAATTTGGTATCCGGGGGTTTTCGGGGGCGAAAAATCGATCTAGATTAGTCTTAGGTCTGGGAAAAAGCGTGTTTTCGAGTTTTCATGTGGTTTATTGTGCATTATTCCAGGCAAAACATGGTCGCTAATTTCGCATGCTCGGACATAAGCATCGTGGTCAAGTGTCCAAGGCGCAAAATTGACAATGACAGGTATGGAATGAGGTGAGGAATACCAGTCGGATACAAAGTTTATATTTTTGTAATTTTTTGTATTTATTCAAGTTTTTAGTTTTTTTTATCTAAAAAATACGATATAACAAAAAAGGATTCCGAGCGAAGCTTGGTCGCCCAGGTACTGTTATTTAGTGTAACAATTACACAATTCTTAAACCCAAAAAACCAACAAAGGAGATATCTCTACTTGTACCCTACTACATCGTTCTCAAACTTTCAATCGTGTGTACAACTATATAGCGAAGTATAGTACTCTATAATTGTAAGCGTAGATTAGTAATCGGGATATTTTATTCAGTAAATGTTTTGGGTGCGACACAATTTTTTTTAGCATGAGGCCGACTGGTTATAAAAGACGTGTAATATGATTAATTTGATTACTTTGTTAAAATGACCCCAGGGGAATGTGTTGAAAAGAAGAAAAAAACCTGTTAGCTAGGCATATTGCATACGAAATAATTCATACTGTGTGCTTAAAAACAACAAAACGTAGTAACTACTAAATTAATATTAATATTATATTAATTATATATCATTAAAATTTAATATAATTAAATTAATAATTAATTAAATACATTAATATTAAAGCGAAAGTTTGGATGGATGGATGTTTGTTATTCACGCAAGAACAGCTGATCGGATCTGGATGAAAGGCACAGAGAAAGATTATAGTCTGAAATAGTACGGTTCTCGTGGGATAGATTTCTTTATGTTTTTCATATTATATTTTTACAGTAATATTGTCTCTGTATAAAACTTTAATCTTAATTAATGGTAATAAATTGAACAAAAATTAAAGAAGACCACATAAACTTTCGTATTGTAAATAATTTTATTTTAAAAATAGATACGAATTTAAAATTTAAGTTTTATTAAGGAAAAAACATACGGTTTACTGCCTTTGAAGCACAATAGAAAAATATATAATAATAATAATTTTCTTTATTGTACATCAAGATAACAAAAAAATAAAAACCGACTTCAAACAAAAGCACTAAAAAGTAACAAATAACTGATTGGTAGTTTTCATTTACTATACATACCTAATCAAATATTTTCGAAGTCGGTGTGCTTAGCTTTGTATGGGCTGGCACCGATTTCGAAAATATTTGATTGGGTGTATGTATTTAATAGGTAGGCTTTAATTACTTAGCCAAAGCACACCGACTTCGAAAATATTTGATTAGGTATGTATAGTAAATGAAAACTACCAATCAGTTATTTGTTACTTTTTAGTGCTTTTGTTTGAAGTCGGTTTTTATTTTTTTGTTAAAAAGTTTTTATTTTTCCCTTTTTAGTGTAGACAGTAGTAGCAATGTAAGGATTCTAACGTGTTAGGCTTGTCAAATCAAACAAAATAAGCCCAAACTCAAAGTATCTACTATTAGCCGTTGAAGAGTTCCACCTATCCACCTTCTGGCCTTGCCATCAGATCAGGTCAACAACACCGAACCACTGTACTATCAACGGAAATAGAAATACTTGCAAAGTTTCAAGTCAATATGACAATTAGAAGTACGTTAAATTCATCATTAGTTGTTTTTCCACCCTTAGGGGTGGTATTTTTTTTTGAAATTTAAATGGGACCAATCTGGAAGTATACACTTTCAAACAAAACAAAAATTGTCCAAATCGGTTAATAAATGACGGAGTTCTGAGGTAACAAACATAAAAAAAAAAAAAAAACATACAGTCGAATTGAGAACCTCCTCCTTTTTGAAGTCGGTTGAAAAGAAGAGAGAAAAATAAAATACAGAAAGATTGGTAAATGTACAAGAGGCGGCCTCATCGCTAAAAGAACGATCTCTTCCCGGCAACCTTAAGGTGTAGGAAGTAGCACTAAGATAGAAGGGGCGTGATTTAAATGAGGAGATAAAATTAAATATATACATATCATATACAAATATACATGTATATATGAGAAAAAATACATAATTATATACTTATAAGTTACGTATAAATATAACATCCAGTTAAATGAAAATACTTATTATAAAAGTCTAGACTTCTACGTATGTATGTCTTTTGAGAAATTAAGTACCTACTTGTAAGATTATTGAGTACTATAACTTGTAATTTATTACGTAGTTGCAGTTTTAAGACTAAATTAAAAAACTTGGATCGATTTTAAATAAACGACGGCAAGACACAATCAGATACAAAATCAGTGTGACTCCAATATTATGAATTAATGCAAGCGTTTTCCTGTTTCTTTGTATTTTACGTTTATATATAATACTAGCATTGCCCGCGGCTCCGCCCACGTTCAGATGACCAAAAACCAAATTCTTAGGTTTTAGATATTAGTATACTCTTACATTGCTGTTTTTGTATTTTTTCTCAGAAATGAGACATTTTCCCGCGGTAAAAAGTATCCTATATGTTGACCCGGATAACCAGCTATCGCCATACTAAATTTCATTAAAATCCCTCCAGTGGTTTTTCTTTGATGCGGTAACAGACATACAGATAGACAGACAAAATGTTTATTTCAATAAGATTTGCCAAAAAATATTTAATGTACAGATTCGGCTTAGTTACAATTTTATTATATGTATAGATGTAGCATAGCATATACATAATTTTATGAATTGTAACTATAAATGTAATATATTACAGTAATGAACTATAAAAAATATACTTGTATGCACCAGTGCCATATTTCAGTAACTAAAGGTGTCGTCTGTAGACGGACTTAATGTCCTGGTAAATGATATATAAAGGACGATGCAGCTCTCAGTGTACATATATTTGTCAACATACACCGGTTTGAGGACGACGTGCAAAATTTTACATTGTAATAATATTATTAAACGTGAAAATGTTTGTCAAACCATGTGTAGCTTTGATATTCTTTATATTGTGCTCTTCAATTGATGGCCGACCGGCAGGCAGTAAGAAAGCCGATATTCAACACGTAGTAGAAGTTGCTAAGAGTAATAACGGTGGCATAACATTTATAGAAGAAAAACCTGCTACTGCTACTGCTGCCGCTGCTACTGTGCCAGTTCAGTTTGAAAACAGATTTGGTGTCCGAGTGGGTACCTGCCCAATTGGATACGTTAAAAGAGGAGTCGTTTGCTACCCGGCTTAAAGTTGTGCATTCTCTTTCTTAATGTTTAGAAAGTGTTTTAATAGTAATAAGATTTAATTTGTATGTGCTATACTCAATAATTCTTTAAGTAATGTGTATAATAAATTTTTATTTTATAAGTTGAAAGATTTTTTCTTTGGAATTCTCTTAAAAATATTGTTACGCATTACGTTAAAGTTCAAGCGAGATAATCACTTATCAAAATTGTTACATTTTCTTATTATTTTGTAAAATTAATCGTCTCTGCTACATAGGTTTTCGGATTCGATTCGCTATATAGGTAGGTCAGGTATTTATTGCTTAACCTATCCTTTAAAATCTGTATATGTTAAACTGTAACTCCAGTCGTGTAGAGATTAAGTCTTAAACAATCCTTTCATGATGGTCATGTCGAGAAACCTTTTTGTTCCATTCGTTTGTCATAATAGATAATGAATCATTTAATAATAGATTGAACGATAAAAACTTCATAATATACGCACATGCAAAGATGTGTTTTTGTTCTATTGTATGAACGGTCATACACATACATACATAAGTATCTAATATAAGGCGGTACTGATAACTCTGAAGTAAAAAGACAAATAAGTGAAACTCGCAAAGTCTAGCATATTCCAGTTTCTGATTCATGCTGGGGTTATCAAACACTATTCAAAATAAAGTCCCTTTTTTACCTGTGCATATTGTGTATTGATCGGAAAATGAAAATCTTGGTCTGTGGTTCTACTAGTTTGGCTCGCACTTAACAATTTTTTCACTTTGGCCTTTTAATGTCTATAGTATATAATATCAATTAAAATTTTCTAATTTTATAAAGAGGTAAAGTTTGTTTGTACCTAGGAGGGTAATCTCTGAAACTACTGGTCCGATTCTGAAGCTTATTTTAAATATAGGAAGCTCCATTATCGATGAGTGCTTCAGTTATTTTTTATTTCGATAAATATGTGCGTGTCAGAAATCATAATAACTTTAATTGAAGTCTGAAAAAAAACTGGCTGTTGAATTATTTTATCGGTGTGCGTTGCCAAAACGTTTTGAAATAAAGTAATAAAACATAATAATGAAACGACACTAATGGACGCATCTGAGCGAAGCGAGGGTAAATCGCTAGTGCTTAGCAGACTCTCTTCAAGATTTTAACGTTATAAATATACGTACTTTAATGAATATTCTTGGTTTTAGTTATCATTATTATATTAACTAATCCCTTAAACTGGATTTATAATTTAGTACATTTGGCTATTTCTATGTTAATTGAATTCTATGTATATCCTATTAATTTTCTAAAATTAAACGCTGTACTATGTCCATAATGATTGAAATATACGGAAGTTATTTAAATAATATGCAGCGTAATGTAAAATGTAAAAATAATACAATACCAGTTATACAAGCCATTTAATTATGATTAATTAATGTTTATGGGTTCACTTGTGTAAGTTGTAAGTTATTTTTCATATACCTAGATAATAAATAATAACAGTATCCACTATAGATAAAAATTATAAAGTAATTTTTAGAACGTGTAAATTAATTAATTGTTTTTATTTCAGATTCGTGTAATAATTTTTTTTCCTAAAGTTCATATAGTAATTAAAAGTCAAATCGACGCTTTTTAAAAATTTCGTCAATCTCCAAATGGAGTCCCTTAAGACCTTGTTAATCATAAGTACAACTTTAAAATATCATTCTATGCATTACTATTCAAATTAAGATCTTTTCTAGTAGTTGTGAACTTAGCAGGATTTCGCCTCAGATTAAAAGAGTAAAATAAGCGGAGCGAAAAGAGGAAAGTAAATGAAGTTTCAAATGGTATATATATTATGTAATTTTTTATATTCTAAGTACACAGACAAGATATAAAATCATTGATAGAAGCTATTTAGAAATCATTAAAATATTTGCTCAGTACATATCAGTGTTATAGTGACAGTATTTAAACATAAAGTTAATAACTTATTTTTTTATTAATATATAATCATCTTTTAATTGAATTATGTATACAGTTGTATTTCCCAAAGCAAAAATAACGTGTTTTAGTGCCCAATAGGTTATCCTAAGAAACTGGCTTCGCTACATTTTTGTTGTTTTTTACCTCATATAGACGAGACGTACTTAGCTTTGCAACAACACGTCAATAAATTGGAATAATAGTTTTATTTACATTTGACGACACGTTTGGCTCAGTTTTTAGTGACCCTACTCGCTGTGCCAGCGGTCGCGGGTTCGAGTCCCGCTGGGGGCATTCATTTGTGTGATGAGCATGAATGTTTATACTCCAGTCATGAGTGTTTATATTTATAATATGTATATATTTAAAATTATATATGTTTAGTATATCAACAATCCGGTATCCATAACACAAGCCTCGTAGTTTACCTTGAAACTAGATGGTGCTGTGTGTTAATGTCCCAAAATATTATTATTTATGTTTCTGGGTACAAATTATTTTTTTTTGAAAAGCTTATTTATTTATATAAATAAACTTTAAAATACTTACTTTATATATACCACAATTCGATTCAACTAATCAATCTAAGCGTAGCGTAGTATTTCTTATTTATTAAGTACCTCCGACGTGGCCGGATGCTCAAAAAATCGAAGCTATATGATATCTTATTTTCCTGCTTTCGTTACCTTTGATTTTATTTATGATTGTCGTTTCATCAAGTCGTATTTTTTTATTAAATATTGGCATCAGAAATATACCAGTAAGGCTATACATATTAAGGTAATCTGTAACAATTACATAATAACTTTTAAGATGTCTACAATCTTAGTCTCTCCCGTGACCATGATTGCTGTAAAGCATTCGAAACGTCTGGAACTAAAAATAAATCTACGAAAAAATCCTATAAGATTATTATATTTTGTTAAATAAAAACATTTGTTACGTTCAATTAAAAGTGTCTAAAGTGTAAACTAAGGGCTAGAGGCAATTTATAATTTCATCTTTCTTTGCTAAATACTTAGTCAAGTTTAAATAAATAAGTTTTGGAATGGTAGCAAAACAACCGAATATTTGGTTTAAGTTTGAAGAATGTCATGAAGGCCCAAAACATGGCATTAAAAACTTGTTTCCAAAATAATTTAAAATAAGCTTTAGGTCATTCGAAGTCTAAGAGCTAAGCTCATTCTGAATTACTTTGGTTCTAAAGAACCAACGAATTTTAGAAAAATAAAAAAAAACACAAAATTATAAACCATAATAAATAGGTACTTCTGATAATCTAAAAAATAAAAATCCATTAAAAACTATAAAACAACTCATTTGACTGGAATATATCCCGACAAAGCTAATATGATAAAAAAGAACTTACATTAGTTATTATTTTTAATCTATATGAATCTATCAACGTTTTATTTACACATTTAATAAAAGTATATTTATGTTTTAATCTTTATGTTTTTGGATCTCAATATTTATAATTAAAACGCAATCTGATGCCAGTCAAAGAGAACATTATTTGTATTTATTTGTATATGTTTTATTGGGCGAATTTATAAAAACAAAGTCAAAGTGAAATTGATATAACTAACAAATAGAGACATGTTTGTATTGCAAATATTTATTGGTAGCCTATATAATAATAAATGAACTACATATCTACGATAGTAGTTACTTTAAATTTTCACAGTTTTATTTTAGACTAGCGACTCACCTACTTACGTTTTAACGTTTAGTATCGATTTCTCAGAGATGAGATATTTTCCCGATGTAAAAAGTATCCTATATGTTGACCCGGATAACCAGCTATCATCTTTCTAAATTTCATCAAAATCCCTCCGTGGTTTTTCTTCCTTTCTGTATCGATAATAACGTCTTATTTCAATAAGATTTTCCAAAATATATTTAATGTACAGATTCGGCTTAGTTACAATTTTATTATATGTATAGATTTTTTATCACAATGTTCTCAAATAAAATTAGCCTAAGATACTCTTTATAATATTCCCGTCAAAATCGGTCCAACCGTTTAGGAGATTAGTCGGAACAACGAGACAGACAGACAAAATTTTTAAAAATTGTTTTTTTCTTATAAGTACCGTATATGTATACTTTCATATGCATTTATTAAAAATCTGTTATTGTGACATTACAAACAGACATTTCAATTTTATTTATTTGTATGTTTTGTATATATAGATAACTGCCTCGGTGGTGTAGTGGCTAGCATGTACAGCTGCACACCCGGAGGTCCTGGGTTCGAGTCCCGGGTCGGGCCAAGTTTAGTTATTGATTCTTTCTGTACAGTAGGCCTCAGTAACAGCCCGAAGTTGGAAAGTTGGCGGTGTTGCACCCCCGTGCCTCGGAGAGCACGTAAAGCCGTCGTTCCTGCGCCTTAACACTCACTGGTCGTGTCGAGCAGTCGTCCCACCGGAGTATGAGAGTGACAGGAATAGAGAGTGCACTAGTGTCTGCGCGTACACTTCTGCACTATAATATCTCCTGCGCAGTTGGCTAGTTTCAATAAGTTTGGCCGCCGCGTCGTGGCCGGAATCGGTCAGGAGAACATCATATATAGATAAGACTGTAATAAATGTTTTTTTATATTATTTATAAGAGAATTAAGGATTTTTTGTGTTGTTTTAAGTTTTTACATTATATTTTATAAGAATTTAGTGTTTATAAGCTTGTAACATATGGATTTGTAAACCATTCAACTAAATAATTGCTGCAGGACATCAGAGATTTCTGCTGTACCTTCAGCGTAGGATAAGTGCATGAACGAAAATTCGTTCATGGATAAGTGCCGCGGAAGGTAGGTACCGTTAATTTGTCATTTTACGTACATTTTTGCATTTTCGATTTGTATTTGAGCCATATTTGAGATGTCATAGAAGGCATATAAAGGTTCTGCTACCAACAGTTTTAGATTTTGTTGGATTGTTTATATTATGTACAAAAACTCTAACGATGTGATCGTATGACTCAACAACAGATGACTTGTATTCAAAGGAACTTTTTAATTATAATACAGTATTTTTTATATAAC